ATAATCAGTTAAATTCTGGCTGTTAGCTTCATAAGGAGTGTGGTCTAGGCCAGAGCTTTCCTATGTGGAAAAGCTATATTGCTCAGCCTATGTGGCCCATCTTCTGGTCTGGAGAATGTAAACAGGTCTAGAGCATCTATTCATTGTGCAGGAGGTTGCTTATGACCAGTTAAAAATACTTTACTCTGTTCAGAAGACCAAAGCAGTTTTTAGTAATTCAATATATAGTAGCACAACTTAATAAATGCAGCTAGGATGTATCATTCAACTATATACAAGACAATGAATGCTAATATACGTTACCTCACTCAGCCTTCAGAAAGACCCTGAGAAGCAGCTGCTTAGTTGTATTGCCACAGGTGACAGGTACAGGAACTGAGGAACAAAGTGATCAGACAAGCTCAATGATACACGCTGGAATCTGAACACAGCTGTGTGGATCTCCTACTTCCTATGCTTCACCTACTATGCCATTGCCTAGTTATGACTGCCTCCAGCAAAGGGCAATTCATATTTACTGGGAAGTTTTTAGCTCTCCTCTTTAAGTATATATTGGTGCACAAGTTAATTCTTAGTTCTTTTTTCAAAGATATTTTTAAAATAGTTAAAGATGTACAGAAAAGTCATAACACTTATGCAGAGGGTTTTTAAATGCATTGTCTACGACTTCTATCACTACTTAATTTTCTTTTAGTTTATTTTACTTTGGTTTCATCATAGTTTCCAGACCGACCTCCATCTCAGATTCTCTGGTACCTGGCTTCTAAGCATAATCAGTTAAATTCTGATTTAACTGATTATGCTTAGTGCAGGGATTTCAGGCATGCATGACTACACCTTGCAGTTCTTCCATTATTAACTCTCTGCATTACTATGATGAATTTGTCAAAACTAATGAACCAACACTGGTATTCTATCATTAACTAAGTTCTAATTAGAGTTAGGTTTCTCCTTTCCCTAATATCCTTTTCCCATTTTAAGATCCCATTGCAGACACTGCTTTACATGTATTACACATGTCTTAAAAGGCAATTATGTTTAACAGTTTCTCAGATTTACCTTGGTCTTGATCAACCTGAATATATTGAGAAAAACAAGCCAGGTGTTTTAATTTGGGTTTGCTTAGTGTTTGTCTGGTCTTTGGGTATAGAGTTTTGAGGACTATCTCAGAAGTGAAGAATCATTTGTACTGTGTCATGTCAAGGACAGAATGTAAGCCACCAGGTATAAAGTTACCCTTACTGTCTGTAGTGCATGTCAAGTTTCTCACTGTAAAGTTGCTCTTCTAATATTCTTTGGGTGTAGACCACTTGACTAGAAAACCAAGCTCACCTCATTAAAGAAAAAACAGCTATTAAACTAAGTGGCATTTTTGTATTTAGGATATTTTCCCTTCTGTATTTATTATTTTATTTAATAATTTGTGTATCAATATGGATTACAGATGTTTGTTTTGTACTTTAGTCTGAATTGGGACATCTGGGCTGCTATAACAAAAGATTATAAACTCAATGGCTTATTATCTTACATTTTTGTGTGTAGAAGATGTTGGTTTCAACAGATTTGGTGTGTGGTGAGAGCTACATTTTCTTACTGTAACTCAGATAGTGAAGGTTGAAAGATTTCTCTAGTATCTCTCTCTCTCTCTCTCTCTCTCTCTCTCTCTCTCTCTCTCTTAGTTCCCTCTCCTTCCCTTCCTTCCCTTCCCTCCACTAACACCCTACCTATTCCATACCCTTTCTGCCATCCAGGGAGGGTGAGGCCTTCATAGGGGGTCTTGCGAGTCTGTCATATCCTTTGGGATAGGGCCTAGGCCTATCCCGTGTGTCTAGGCTCAGGGAATATCCCTCTATGTGGGCTCCCAAAGTCCATTCCTGGGCTAAGGATAAGTACTGATCTACTACAAGAGGTCCCATAGACTTCTGTGGCCTCCTCACTGACACCCATGTTCATGGGATCTGGATCAGTCCCATGCTGGTTTCTCAGCTAACAGTCTGGGGACCAACAGCTCCCCCTTGCTCAGGTCTTGTTTCTGTGGGTTTCACCAGTCTGGTTTTGACCACTTTGCTCATCACTCCTCCTTCTCTGCAACTGGATTCAGTTCAGTTCAGTGTTTAGCTGTGGGTGTCTGCTTCTACTTCCATCAGCTGCTGGATGAAGGCTATAGGATGGCATATAAGTTAGTCATCAATCTCATTATCAGGGGAAGGCATTTAAGGGAACCTCTTCTCTGGCTCTCAGATGTGTAGTTGGTGTCATCCTTCTAGATCTCTGGACATTTCCCTAGTGCCTGATTTCTCTTTAAACCTATAATGGCTCCCTCTATTATGGTATCTTTTTTATCTTGCTCTTCTCTATTCTTCCCTCAACTCAACCTTCCTGCTCCCTCATGTTCTCCTCACCTCTCCTCTTCTTCCCTTCTTATTCTTCTAGCTCCCTCTCCCCTCCCCCATGCTCCCAATTTACTCAGGAGATCTTGACCATTTCCCCTTCTCCGGGGGACCACGTATGTCCTCTTAGAGTCCTCCTTGTTTCCTAGCTTCTCTGGTGGTGTGGATTGTAGGCTGGTAATCTTTGCTCTATGTCTAAAATCCATGTATGAGTGAGTGCATACAATGTTTGCCTTTTGTGACTGGGTTACCTTGCTCAGGATGGTTTCTCCTAGTTCCATCGATTTGCCTACGAATTTCAAGATTCTATCTTTTTTTTCCACTGAGTAGTACTCCATTGTGTAAATTCACCACATTTTCTCTATCCATTCTTCAGTTGAGGGACATCTAGGTTGCTTCCAGATTCTGGCTATTCAAATAATGCTGCTATGAACATGGTTGAACAAATGTCCTTATTGTATGAATGTGCTTCTTTTAGGTTTATGCCTAAGAGTGGAATTGCTGGATCTTGGGGTAGACTGATTCCCATTTTGCTGAGGATTCACCATACTGATTTCCAAATGGCTGTATGAGTTGGCATTCCCATGAGCATTGGAGGAGTGTTCCCCTTTCTCCACATCCTCTCCAGCATAAACTGTCACCTAAGTCCAAATGTATAAAAGATCTCAACATAAATCCAGTCACTTTACATGCCAATCCCAGGTCCTGCTCCCTCCATTCCTCCCATTTCCACCACTATTTCCCCATCACACCCACTATTAGAAAAGGAACTCTTGGAATTTGATGGAACTGATAGGAAATACTGAGACCTATAAATTGCACAGGCCCCTGTGAAGTGCAAATTTCTTCAGTCTACTCTCACCATCTGGAATATGTTTGCAGTTTATGTACTGAGTGTAGCAGAACTACATTTGACCAAGTGATCAGAAATAAGAGGAAGAGATGTCTGCTGCAGTCAGTCTCTGGCACAAGACATCCTAGGAATTTGGGAAATCTTCTAATAATCCCAAAGGCATTTCCAATGAAGAATAAGAAATGGAGTCAAGTTTCTCTGGGGTTGTGGATGGTAGGCTGGTTATCCTTTGTTCTATGTCTAATATCCAACTAAGAATTTAAGCAATAGTGAAGAGGCTACCTTAAATGCTCTTCCCCTATAATGAGATTGACGACTACCTTAAATGCCATCATAGAGCCTTCATCCAGTAGCTAATGGAAGCAGAAGCAGAGACCAACAGCTAAGAACTGAGTTGAACTCCTGGAATCCAGTTATAGAGAGGGAGGAGTAATGAAAAAAGGGGTGAAACCATGCTGGGGAAACCCACAGAAATAGCTGACCTGAGCAAGTGGGAGCTTATCCACCCCTGTCTGACAGATGAGGAACCTGCATGGGACTGAACCAGGCCTCCTGAATGTGATTGTCAGTTGGGGGGCTTGGGAAGTCTATGGGGCCTCTAGCAATGGAACCAATATTCATCCCTAGTGCGTGAATGAACTTTTGGAGCCTATTCCCTATGGAGGAATTCTCTCTCAGCCTAGATGCATGGGGCAGAACTTAAGTCTTGCCCCAATGATTGTGACAGACTTTGATGATCTCCCATGGAAGGCCTCCTTGAGGAGTTGATGGGGGTGGGATGGGGAAATGGTGGGGGAAATGAGGGGATGGGAGGGATCTGGGACTGAGATTGGTATGTAAAATAAGATTTTTCAATTTAAATAAAAATTAATTTAAAAAAGAAATGGGATAAAAAGCTTTTCCAAAGAGGGAAAATCAGCTGTGGTATATAGCCCAGTAAATGGTTGCTTGCAGCTTTGTATTTTATATTGCACATGTGAATGCACAAGCAAGGGACCCAGCCTCCTACCAAATCATCTGCTCTGTCTGTTCTTCCAGTCTGAGAACACAGCTTTTCCTAGCCAGTCCACTCAAGGAAGAAACCTCTGCAAAATTTCTTAATGACTTTTCAAAGGTAATGATGATTCAGGAATGCAGCCATCTCTCCCCAAGTCCCACTTATACTTTTTCTGGAACAATGAAGTTGACATATTAGGCCAATCTTTGAGTCTTTGAACTTACGCAGTGGTCATATTTACATAGATTTCTCATGTTATAATATTTCACTTAAGCAGTTAAATTATTTTTATGGTAAGACAATTGTTCTGTTAATGAAATTGTTAGTCTAGAAAAAAATACCTTTACCCTAACTATTAGAAGTTAAAAATATGACAGCACTATAATTTCTAAAGGTTAATTGAGCTGTTTGTTTATTTTATCTGTTTCATGTTATTTTAGAGACCTAAAATACCTTTCATTACTGTCCCTACAATAGATCACAGGGGAAAATATTTACAAAATGCATTCTAAGAAGCTGAATTCATTTACCAATAGAAATAATTTTCAATGGAGTTCTGGAATGGTAGCAAGTCACACTTCAAGCTATAAATAAATAAAAGTGGCAGCCATTGCTACTAAACTATCAGCAACACTAAACAGTTATTTTTAAATTTAATAAATGCATTAAGGAATTAGAGAACTATTTTGTTGGAGATGGCAACATCTCCTTGTACATGGATTTTTTCATCCTAAAATTAGCCTCCTTTATTTTATTATAGAGTATATGTGAGAGCATTTGGGGTTTGGCATGTGCATTCACCAAGTGTGTGAAGAATTTAATGACCTATGAGACAGACCTGATTATGCTCACTATGAGGTGAGAAACATTATAAAGAGAGAAACCTTGTCCAATATTTTTCCTCATATTCATCAAAACATCTGGGTGAGTTTCAGAATGCAATTATTCATTTGCTTTTATTCAAAGATAGCTTTGTGAACATATTTCAGTCTTGAGGTTCCATAGAACATATTTTTAAAAGGTGGCCCTAAATACTAACTGGTTTTGAGTGACATATATCTCATCTCAGAGGGTGACCTACATGAGATGTTGTGCTGGTGGGACATGGAGTGGACACAGCCTCGGCATTTCCTAAAACTTGTACACACTAGGAGAGTCAGGAAATTGGACTGCTCTGTCATATGAGGCCTAGCTCCTTTTCCAAGAGAACAGTGCATGCTCCCTGATTTAGTTTATTTGAAATTCCAGTGATGAAATTGGGCTATGTATTGAAAAAGAAGAAAGAGAAGCAACATTGGCATTTGTAAATCAAAACTTCATGTTCACATGGTGATCAGAACACCCTTGATTGGGGATTTGCTAATGATTAGATAATGTATGTAATGAATGAAGCAAGAAGTATTTGAACACTTTCTACTTTTGATGAGCCCCAAGTCATTTGAAAATCAGGCAAAAGCAAGATGGGATATATAGAATTGTTTGTATACTGACTGATTATGTAGTCAGACACCACAGCCATGAATCCCACAATGTAAAACTTTATTTTCCCAAGGCACTGATAACAGCTTGGCATAAAGAACTCAGATACAATAGCTAAATAAATAAATAATTTTTTAATAATTTTTGAGCTTTGGCAAAACTGTTTTTGGATTTAGGATGAGTTACTGGTTGGGAAATTATCATGTGGATCTACCCTGATGAAAAGAAAAGGAACAGGTTTTAGAAAAGGGAAGGCCTGAGGTGTGATCTCCTTGAAGGACAGCCATACCATGGTTTTCCTCTAAGCTCTCTAACTAAGGATGTAAATCCTTCTTGCATCATTTATGACAAACTCACCCTTTCTTTCAAATCAGGTTCAACCCTGGTCTTTACCAATCCTAATCACCTTACATCCTGGGGAAAGGGAAGACAAAATACTGTCTTTGTCCACCTGAAGGGGAGTAGAAATTAGATAGATCTGTGCACTCAGTAGAGAATCATATAATGCAAGTATGTACCTAGAATATTGAACATATCACATGGGTCTATCAATTAACATTTGGAGGATGTGAAGTACAAGATGAGTTTTACACAGAAGAATTTTCTAATCTGAAAATTTGATTAAGAGAACAATTACATTTTTATAGTACCAATAAAAATTAACCTTAGGGAAAATTTAACCAAATAATTGTAAGGCTTTCACATTGAAAACTAAAAGACAAATCATTGAAAGAAATTAAACAAAATCTAAACAAATAAAAAGACATTCTTTATTCATGGAATAGAAGGCTTAATATTATTGATCCCATAATACTGCCTAAATTTTGGTTTATATTCAGTGAAAGTTCTATTGAACTTTCAGCTACAATGGGTACCAAATAGTAAACACTAATAAAGAAAAGTTGGGGGATTCTACTTCCAATTTAAAACTTTCTATCAAGACAATGAGTACTGACATACATGGAAATCAGGTAGAAATAGAAAGTAATTGTCAGAAGAGAAATAAGCAGTTTACTTATGATGAAATTGTTTGGCCAGAGTGCCAGGATAACACAGTGAAAGGGCGGGGGGTTAGCCCACAGCATTATGTGCCTATAATGATAATAATGGAAAGTGCAATGACATCTGCTGATGAGGAGGTGCAGAAGCTGGAAGACACACATATTGCTGGTTGGAAAGTAAAATGGTTGAAGTGAAATGGTACTTGTGAAATAAAAACAGTGAAACCCACACTATTACATAATGGGGCCATTCCCTTCTAAATACATATATGAGAAAATGGAAAATAAGTATTCACTGAAAAAAGTGTGCACATATGTTCACGATAGCATTATTCAAGTGCTGGGAAGCAGAAGCATCTTTTATTGTAGGGTGAACAGGTAAGAATGAATCTACACAGTAGAATTTAGCCATCAAAATAAATAAATATTATTGCTTATTGTAACACAAAGGAACCCTGAATACGTTACAAAAATGATGTTTTCTGACAGTAAACAGGAAATGTGATTGTTTGATTTATCCCCAGTGCCTAGTGTAAGGTGGGAAGCTGTGAGAATGTAGATCAAGCCTTCTCCAGGAGTTGAATTGCTCCATAATAGTGCTGATCACAGTCCATGACATCTTAGTTCTAGTTTGTCTAAGGTTTAGATGTGCTTTAAATTTTATTCACAAAATTCATAGCATTTATAGTAAATGAAATTCATTTCTGCCAACATCATCAATCAAGAAGTGTTGATACTCAAGTCAAGACTGAGCAGAGGGGAATGCAGAAGGAAAACATGTCTCCAAGGCAGCTGAACAATGGACTGTAAAGATGAGAGGTAAATACATGTATGCATTTTGATTGATTGAAAGGCTTGTGGGTGGAATGTTGGAGGGTGGGAGGACAGGTGAGGATATATTAAAACTTGAGATCTGATCAACTAACCTAGAAGAACCCTCTTATTCAGCACTATGGTAACTTCCTGATAATCTTCCAAGTTCACTCTATACATCCTGACAATTAGCTATTGATTTCTAAGACTTCAAAAGACTAACTGAACCTGAGTAATTCTCACCTAGCCATAAATACCTTTTGCTTTTAATGATAACATAGGTCCATTACCAAGACTGTACTGTGACTGCTGAAGAGTGTTTGTTATACATCATCTAAGTTGGCTCCACAATAACCCTTTAAAGTAAATATTCTTATCCTCATAATACAGCTGTGGCCAGTCAGAGACTCTAGGATGCCACCACCACCCATGTTCAGATCAAGAATTGGGGTAGGGTCTTTGTACTCTTGTCTTCCTCATTCTGTAATACTGTTTCTGAAATTCAGCTTCAATAGTTTCTTGTTTCTACCCTTGGCATGTAGCCATTTTTACATAGTTCCCTCCCCCCCCCAGACATCAGAATATGGACTATATATTAATTTATATTCCACCAAATAAAGTGCTTAAAGTGAAAGTACTTAGTTAGGCTTCCATTGCTGTGAAGAGACACCATGACTGTGGCAACTCAAAAAGAAAACATTTAATTGGGGTGGCTCACATACAGTTCAGAGGTTCCTTTCATTATCATCATTATGGGGAGCATGGTGGCATGCAGGCAGACATGGTGCTGGAGTTGCATCTAAGAATCCTACATTTTACAGGCAACAGCAAGTTGACTGAGACACGAGGAAGAATCCCCCACAGTGATACACTTCCTTCAACAAGGCCATACACACTCCAACAAAGCCACACCTCCTAATAGTACCACTTTCTATGAGACTGTGGAGGTCAATTACATTCAAACTACTGCAATACTGAGGTCTCATAGAGTTTACCTGAAGTTGTGAAGCTGGAATAAAGGTCACACCCAATGCTAAACCTTGTTTAATGAGTATAGCTCATTAGTTTAATGAACTGTTGGTATGGTTCCTGCGGTGCACAAACACCATGGTTAAGTACAGGGAAAAAGCCACAGAAAGGCTTCTGGTAACAAACAGCTTCTATTTTGTTTTAGCTTTAGTGAGACATGACAATACAGACAATGTTGGAGGAACTTGTCAAGAAAGTTAAAAGGGAACCTAGAGGAAGGGCAGGGGGCAGTACTTCGGAAGTCAGGAGTCCTTCTCCGAGGCAGCAATGTTGGATTTGGGCTCTGGCATTGAATAAGCATCTTTGTCAGGGGAGGCTTAGCCTACTTATAAGAAAGAGAGAATATGAGGGTTCAGGAGAGAGCTCTTCAATGACTTAGAGAAGGGCAAAGAAGGCCAAGCAAGGGGGTAGGAGGGTAGACTAGGAAGAAACAAGATTGGCAAAGGAAGCAGCACCTAGACTGTGAAAAGCCTATGAAAGTTCTGATAGACTGATTACGGTGTAAGAGAAATGGGAAGGTGTATGTTAGACATGACCTGGCCTAACCATTTTCTTTATTTTAGTCATTGTAGGAGTTAAGAGAAAATCAGGTCAACCAGGTAACCATTGTGTGAAAAGATGTCCCTTGGCTTTTGGTGGTATCTATCAGAAAGGAGCAGCTGCTTTTCTGACGGTTCCTGGTTCCTTGAAAAGCTTAGGTCTTCAACTGGTTCTTCCCACCTTCACCAGCTCTTACCTGAACAGCAAATGCCAGTGTGGTGTTAGATATGTTGGCTATTCACTAGAGAACACGTGTGGAGGAGGATTGGTTGATTGGAGAGGTTAGGAAGAAGGGGGGACATCAGACTGTAATGTCAGAGATGGAAGGATGACTGGCAGTTATCTCAGACTACAGGAGAATTTTGAGTGTCTAATCTGGCTGCCAGGGAGTCCAAGAGAAGCTGATCATGAATGTTTTGCATGGAGCAAGAATCAGCCTCCCATTACTTTGCCATGCTCACATAATGGCAGCAGACAGGTAGGTATAGACTCAGCATACAGTGAGTGGGACAGTCCACAGTTCAGCATCTGGGATAATTCCTCATCTGTACAGTCAAGGAGGCTCTCAGATCTCACCTTTTCTACTCTGAGTCATCATTCCTCCTAGCTCTAGGCCACCATTCCCAGAAACCTGGAGAATTAGTCTTTATGGACCTATCAGGTCATTCAGTCTAGAACTATTCAGAAGTCAAGTTCTTTCTCTTTCTCTGACACATCTATCTTATCCTTTCAGAGGTGGTGAGGAACTTCCTTCACTTGACCTCAAACTTTAAAATGTAGAAGATAGCATCAATTGGTAATACAGTCTAGTATTCTGTAGTGCTTAAAAAACAAAACAATATGTTGATTTAGATTATATCATTTTTATTTCTAGAACACTTAGAGCCTTTGCCATGGACTTTCGTTCTGCCTTCAAGCTGGTTTTCCATTGTTGTTGCAGATTGTTTGACTAGTGAGAACAAAGGTTTGCTCTGTTCCAATATAATAAAGACAAAGGAAAAACTCTAGTGAGACAGATATTTAACATCGAGAGACAGACAGACAGAGAGAGAGAGAGAGAGAGAGAGAGAGAGAGAGAGAGAGAGAGAGAGAAGAGAGAGAAACACCATTGGTATCACACTCTATAGCAACTATACTGAAAAGGGGTTTTATTTTGTGACCCCTTTTGAGAATCAGGACAACTGTCGACAAAGTATATTATACAAGTGAATGAAATGTCAGAATGAAATGTCAGAATGAGATGTAATTTTGCACAATCAATATGCACTAATAAAAATTGGGAAAAAAGGCTTTCCACACTGCTCAGGGACAGGTCCATAAAGTGTTATTCTTGCTTCCTATCATAACTTAAAGGGAAAATTACACAATGTCTAGAACCTTTGATGTCTTGCAGATGAGAGAGGATGTCTTCACATTCCTTTCCACAGGAACCCACTTACTTGGCACTCACCTTGCCTTTCAGATGGAGAAGTACATTCTTAAAAACAAAAGTCATGATATCTACACCATAAATCTAAACATGACCTGGGAGAAGCTGTTGCTTGCAGCTCTGGCTGTTGTATTGAGAACCCTGCTGATGTCAGCATCATCTCCTCTAGGAACACAGGCTAGCAAGCAGTGCTGAAGTTTGTTGCCACAACTGAAGGAGGCACTGTAATTGCAGATCACTTCAAGCCTGGGGCTTTCACTAACTAGATCCAAGCAGCCCTCAGGGAGCTACAGCATCTAGTTATGACTGGTCCCAGAGCTGATCCCCAGCCCCTCACAGAAGCATCTTGTGTCAACCTGCCCATCATTTCTCTGTGTAACACAGAATGTCCTCTTCGCTGTACATCGCCATCCATGCAACAAAGGAGCCCACTTGGTGTATCTGATGTGGTGGATGCTGGCCCAGGAAGTACTCCCCATGTGTGGAACTATCTCTAGTGAGCACCCTTAGGAGGTTATGCCTGATCTTTACTTCTACAGAGACCAGGAGGAGACTGAGAAGAAGGAGCAGGCTGCTTCTGAGAAGGCTGTGAACACGGAAGAATTTCAAGGCAAATGGACCACACCAGCTTCTGAGTTCACTGCTGCTCAGCCCAGAGGGGAACAGACTGGTTTGAAGGGGTGCAGATGACCTCTGTACCCATTCAGCCCTACTAAAGGCTGCCCAGCCAGCCACCTAGGACTAGTCACCAGTTCCCACAGAAAGAGGCCACTGAGTGGCTTGGATCCACCCCTGAGTAGTCCTGAGCTCTTCAGCAGGCACCTGAGCAAAGAGATAAAAGGTGAAAGGAAAATAAAGCTCCTGAAAGCTGAAAACAAAAAAGAACCCTGGCCGGGCATGGTGGCACATACCTTTAATCCCAGCACTTTGAAAGCAGAGGCAGGTGGATCTCTGTGAGTTCGAGGCCAGCCTGGTCTGCACAGTGAGTTCCCAGACAGCCAGAGCTGTTACACACAGAAGCCCTGTCTGTAAAGAGAAAAAGAAGAAAAAGGGAAGGAAGGAAGGGAGGAAGGAAGGAAGGAAGGAAGGAAAAACAGAAACAAAGGAACTCTTTATGGCTGCTGAAAGAATTAGGGGTACTATTGTAAATATTGAGGCCAAACTGTAATTCTCTGATGCATCAAATATTTGCACAAAACAGAGCAATGTGGTAGGAAATTAACCTTTGTATCTGAGAAGACAATGCTGTAAAAATTGCACAAAACAAAGAGGACAGATATCAACATCACTTCCTCAAATCCATATGCTGCCATGGAAATGAATATGCAAAACTATGCCATGATTCTCATGTCTAGAAATAATCCTTGCACAAAGGAAGTGCAAACACAGTCATATGAAGATAAGGAGCCTATTTGCCTATTAAAGGATGTTGGCTCACAGTGATTGGATTCATTATTTTAAAGAGGTTATTTTAACTTTCAAGCAAATGCAATAGTGACACAGAGGTAGGTGTTAAAGATATTTATTAGTGACTACAATACAAGAATAGATCATGGAACAAAAGAGCTCAAATGCAACCGTGCCTCTGGCTACTCACTTTTGCTTGGGGGACACCCCTGTCCTTTAAAATATCCATTAAAATATTGCTTTGGGGCTCTTACATTAGTAATGCATTTAGGAAGAACAAAGAGGAAGCTCATTTGGAATCTTATAATTCAGCAGTTATCTCTGTTACAATTCTGCAGAAATTTTTCCCAGATCATTACACAAGAAAACCATTATAAAACAAACTAGATGACTAGTTTCCTCTGACTCTATTTTCTTATCTCTTTCTTTCCTTCTTTCTTCCCTCCTTTCTTTCTTTCTCCTTCCTTCTTTCCTTTTCTTTTTAGGAAAAAAGAAAAGAAGGAAGTCTATTCAATATGACCAAATTGGGAAGAGGGACAAAGAGGTCCCGTGACCCCCAGTCTTTGCAGTACTGGAGTGAGATTAAAATTTAAATAGAGGGATGAGAATATGCACATCTAAGCAGTCCTGGTCAAAGTGAGGTCCTGCCCACCAGTGAGTCACCATATGGTCTCATCCTGTAAGGAGGCCTGATAAGTTGTTAGAAGTGTGTGAAATCTCTTTCTGAGAAACAAGTTTCCCCTCTGGTAGACAGAGCCTTTCCCTATGCCTGCCTTAAACTCCTGGGAATCCCCGTCTCTTTTAATCTTGTTCAGTGTTATATTCTCAGTCTGTGAGTTGACACATCATATTGCCTAAGGAGAGTTTCCACTTTCCCAAAGAATGGTATAAGTGGCCAATAACTAGAATACCATTATAACATGAGTCAGGACACTATTCCCTTGAGGCAGGTGTGGTTAATTCTTCATTCTACATGAAAGCATTTGAAAAGAACTTCATATAACTTACTACTAGGAGGTAGACTAATCATAACCTAGGAAAATGGGCAGAAAATAGTGGCTGCAACTTAAATCTGAACCTGATAACATGAAGGAGATTACATTGAAAAGTTAAGGACATTTCTTAATTTAAACACAAAGCAATAACAGCAAAACCACCCTTTGTGTAAATGTATCACATATTCTCAATCCATTCTTCAGTTGAGGGGCATCTAGGTTGCTTCCAAGTTCTGGCTATTACAAACAGCGCTGCTGTGAACATAGTTGAACATATGTCTTTGTTATATGTATGTGCATTCTTTGAGTATATGCCCAAGAGAGGAATTGCTGGATCTTGAGGTAGACTAATTCTCATTTTCCTGAGAAACTGCCATACTGATATCCAAAGTGGTAGTGCAAGTTTACACTCCAACCAACAATGCAGGAGCGTTCCGCTTTCTCCACATTCGCTCCAGCATAAACTGTCATTGGTTTTTGTTTGTTTGTTTGTTTTGTGTTTTTAATTTTAGCCATTCTGGCCTGTGTAATATGTTATCTCAGAGTTGTTTTGGGTTGCATTTCCCTGATGGAAAGGATGTTAAGCACTTTAAGTATCATTCATCCATTTTAGATTACTCTATTGAGAATTCTCTCTTTAGTTCTGCACCCCACTTTTTAATTGTATTATTTGGTGTCTTGGTGGCTAGCTTCTTGAGTTCTTTGTATATTTTGGAAATCAATTCTCTGTCAGATGTGGGGTTGGTGAAGACCTTTTCCCATTCGGTGGGCTGCTGTTTTTGTCATGATTTGTATTACAGAAGCTTCTCAGTTTCAGGAGGTCCCATTTATTAATTGTTGATCTCAGTGTCTGTGCTACTGGTATTCAGGAAGGGTCTCCTGTACCACTTCATTCAAGGGTACTTCCCACTTTCTCTTCTAAGAGGTTCAGTGTGCTTCGATTTATGTTGAGGGCTTTGATCTATTTGGATTTAAGTTTTGTGTATGGCGATAGATAAGGACCTATCTGCAATCTTCTATATGACCACATCCAGTTAGTCCAGCACCATTTGCTGAAGATGCTTTCTTTTTCCCATTGTATAACTTTAGCTTCTTTGTCAAAAATCAGGTGTTCGTAGGTGTGTGGATGTTTTATTCAGCAGCAAAAAACAATGAAATCTTGAAGTTCGAAGGCAAATGTATGGAACTGGAAGAAAGCATCCTGAGTGAGGTAACAGAAAGACAAACATGGTATGTACTCACTCACATATGGATATTAGACCTAGAGCCAAAGGACTACCAGCCTATAATCCATACTACCAGAGAAACTAGGAAACAAGGAAGACCCCAAGAGAAGAATCCATGGTCCCCCAAAAAGGGGAGGGGGACAAGTACCCCTGAGCAAATTGAGAGCATGCAGGGAGAGAGGAGGGAGTTGGGAAGGGGAGAGGGGGACAAGGGGAGGGAGGAGGACAGGAGAGAACAGGAGGACTGAGACAGGGGAGGAATAGAGGAGAGCAGGAAAGGAGATGCCTTGATAGAGGGAGCTAGTATGGGTTTGGAGAGAGGTCTGGCACAGGGGAATAGTTAGGGGATCCACAGGGATGATCCCAGCTAAGAGTCTAGGCAGTGGTGGAGGGGCTGCCATTGATGCCCTTCCCCTATAATGAGATTGATGACTATCTTGGCTGCCATGCCTAGAGCCTTCATCCAGTAGCTGATTGAGGCAGAAACAGGCACTTACAGCTGGGCACTGTGCTATACTCCTGGGGTCCAGTTGCAGAGGAGGAGGGATGAGCAAAGGAGCCAAGACTGTGATGGGGAAACCCACAGAAACAGTTGACCTGACCTAGTGAGAACATGGAGACCCTAGTCATAAAGCTGGGGAACCAGCATTGGACTGAACCAGACCCTCTGAATGTAGGTGCCAGTTGGGGGGGGCAGGGCAGTCTATGGGATCTTTGACAGAGGAACCAGTGTATATCCCTGGAGCATGGGTGGACTTTGTGAGCCCATTTCCTATGGAGGGATGCTATTACAGCTCGGATGCCGGAGGGAGAGCCTAGGCCCTCTGCCAAATGATGTGAAGAACTTTGATGGTTCCCAGGTGGAGGTTCTCACTATCCTTGGAAAGTGGGTAGGAGCTGGGTTGAGGGGTTGGTGGGCAGCATGGGAGGACTGGAGGGCAAGGGAATGGGAGGATTGATATGTAAATAAGAGTGCTTCTAAAAAACAAAACAAAAACCAAACCTGTACATTTCTTCCCTGTTCTCTCAAGGCAGTGTGCCAAAAGTTATCAGGAGAATTTGAGTCTTCACAAATGAACAGGAGAAAAGAGCAGGGTTTTGGTGTCAGGAAGGCCTAATTTGAAACAATGACACTGAATTCTGATACAGCAAGACCTCAAGCCTTACTTTCCTTTGTCTTCTGAAAGATCAGAATGTGAATGTACCTTTTAAGCATCAATGAAAAAATTAACTGAGGATATAACTCTAAAGCAATTCACCAAGTGTATGGCTCAAAGCAGACAACATATTTGGTAGCAGCTGTTATTATTGTTATTGACATTTGAAATCATCAACTCAAAGTCTCCATGCTCATACTTAGTATCACCTCCTATTCATTTAATAATATCTGTTTTAAACTTCACTTCACAGGTTGTCTTTGAGCTGATGGAAGAAAGTGGCACTGTGATTTGGATTCTGTGAGCTGTAAGATGCAATCACAATAGAAGACACAGAGAAGCACTGGTATCATGCCTGGGTGGGCAAGTGTGGCACATGTGTGCATCTCAGGTTCTCAGCCTGTAAAGGAGGATCAGTTGGGGTCCAGAGTTCTAGATCAGTCTGACAAAGTTTAAAGAAAAATATAAAAACTGGGCATGCTAGTGCACACCTGGTACCTAGTGCCTGGGAGCAGAAACAGGGCAACATAAGTTTGAGGTCAGCTTGGGCTACACAGTAAGTTCCAGATCAAATTGGAAAATGCACTTTAGCCCCTGCTATTGCCACTGCCCCTGGATCATCTTTTAGATGCTTCCACACAGCATAAGTCAACAAATGGGCACCCACGTATTGTGTTTTTAAAAATTGTTCTTTTCTCCTAAATAAAAAGGCTTGCTTATTTTTGCTTTGTTGTTTACAGTAAATGGATACCATGATTTTCTTTTTCTGACGTATTTTCCTAAGTGGGCAGGTGCTCTGCAGGGCAACTAGGTTTTTTATTCTTTTTTTCTGGTCAATCAGAATTAGGTATCTGGGGTCCTTCCATCGCAGAACTTAGCTGTTGTATTGTGCACCCAGCACTGACATTTCTCACTATTGCCTTCAGCTGAAGGATGTTTCATTTTACTGCCCAGATGAATGAGATTAAAACTCAATGTTGGGGAGGAACATGTACCTGAAGAAAAAAGCATCAGGACAGTGTATTTAGCATCAGGCTCCACACTGTACTGTGTGCATGCTACCCATTTAAAATAATGATGAATGAGAAATTGTAGCTCCTATTTGCATGTAGCAAATGACTGCTTTACTCCTGGTTAAAAATTGTTCAAGCCGGGCATTGGTGGCGCACGCCTTTAATCCCAGCACTCGGGAGGCAGAGACAGGTGGATCTCTGTGAGTTCGAGGCCAACATAGTCTCCAGAGTGAGTGCCAGAATAGGTTCCTAAGCTACACAGAGAAACCCTGTCTCGAAAAACCAAAAAAAAAAAAAAAGATTTATGTTTCCATCAGCAATCAACCACCACTACATTACCAATTCTAAACCATAGGCTGAAATATCTACTTATCATTCTGTATATAGATGAATCCTAATCAATACATATTAGAAAAGAAACAGTCTCGGTTTTTAAGATTTCTTGGTTACTTGTAGAATTGATTCATAACACAGTCAAGGAATAACTATAACCCTATAAATAGATTCTCAAGAGAATATAAATATCTTTAAAACCCCAAGTGTGTAAACTTTCTGTACTGTAAGAATTTATAACCCTAAGACAAAGTATCTTTTAAGCATCTTGCTTGCCTATTGACCTAATAATTGAGCTCCAATATTAGCAGAATTCCATTCATTATTTTATTGGCCACTGAAGAGAATTTAGAGGAGTGTTCACTGAGAGACAGAGACCTTCAGGTACTGTGATCATGGCCATAGGGCACTTACCAATCAGTGACTGTGGGAATAACACCATGCGCTTAGGATTTGGTGCGTTTCCTAGATTTATTCTCCCTTTATTCCCCTGGTCTCCAAACATCGACTTTTATGAAGGCTACAACAAAGCCCAAGGAAACATTTTCCAAATGCCCTTTTTTTGTGTGTGTGTAAGTGTGTGTGTGTGTGGGGGGTGTTTCGAGTCAGGGTTTCTCTGTATTGGAGCCTGTCCCCTGGAACTCGATCTGTAGACCAGGCTGGACTCAAACTCACAGGATCTGCCTGCCTCTGCCTCCCGAGTGCTGGGATTAAAGGCGTGCCCCACCAACACCCAGCCCAAATGCCTTTTGTGACGAATGTTGGAAGTATGATGGTTCTGCCACTGTGATGGAAACCTAAGAATTGCACAGAACTTCTGGAAGGTCAGCTTAAAGAGTTCTGGCCCTACCAGCAGACATTTCCTCCATCCATTTCCCTTACCTTAAAATACCTGTCATGTTTAGAGCTCCAACAGACTCCTGAGATCATAAAGTGACAGTAGGGAAGGAAAACAGCCCTAGGACGGAGACAAAGATGGAAGACACAGATCTACAATGCCCATGAAACTGCTACATCAGCGATAGACTGTGTTGAAAAGTAAACTCCCATCTTGCTGAAATGGCTACAATTGTATGCATACGGGCTTAGCTGAACTGATACAGTTATTAAGGCTTAGCTGAACTGATACAGTTATTAAGGGATCAGAGTTTCTGGTGTGTGGATTTAATGGGAGATACAGCCTTCAGTTGTGCAAGACAACAGAATTAAGATGCAAGCACTAACAATCTGTTTTTTGTTTGTTTTAATTGAACTCCCTGGTGACAGTTAATAACCCTGTTCTGAGACATTTCCAGGTGAAAGTTTGGAAGTATGAGGTGTAAAGAGTTGGAAGGGAGGGTAGAAGTTAAAAACAGCAAAAGGAAAGTTAAATGCAACTGTAACATTTGATCTTGAAGACGTTCTTCTGATTCCTGATGGCTAACTGGGATTTAGGGCCTGGTAACTGTCTGTCTTGAAGCCATATTTGGGAGGGAATATGGCTTGAAGGCAAGCAAGGGAGCAGGGAGTTGTTTGCACTTAGGCAACCACAGCAGAGAGCCCAACCTTCCCACCTTGACAGCAGTGGCACCAGTACACTATGGCTGGCCTCATAGTCCTGGGTATCTAATATGCATCACCTTTAACTGAGTCTTTACAACTTCTAAATTGTGTTGATATTTTCTTCACTTAAAGTAGAAACTGAGGTGCATGAGATTATTCACACTCTTGAAGTCAGGCAGACAGTACGATGAGGAATGTGGATTTGAACAGAGTGACCATCTTCCTGGTTTTTCCAGGATTGAAGGGTTTCCTGAGATGTAAGACTTTCAGCTCTAAAGTCTGGAGAATGCCTAATAAGCCAGAATGGATGGTAACCCCAGCCTGACTACAAAGCTCTGTACACTACTTTTAGATCTAGGATGCATGAAGCACTGACAGACTTCCCAGGAGGGTAAGAGGCTCTGAACAGCTGATTCTGGTCAGTCTGGAGACTGATCCTTCCTAGAGGTAGGCTCTGGTGTCAGGAGAGCAGGGCCATGTTGATGGGACTCAAGGCTTTGTTGTCTTCTGATTCCAAGCCAAGAACTCTCCTGTTGTTCCCCTTAGCCAACATCCTCAGAGAACTTTGTCCTATTTAGACAGGATAGCTATATTTTCGAAGGAGAGGATCACTGGACTTTGTCTGCTTGTGTAAATGCCATTATGTCTGGCTGAAATTCTCTCCAAATCTTCCTCTCCACTTTAGGCACTGGGCAGGACTATTTAATCTAGTACAATTATTTACAATATGTATTCATAAAGATATAAAGGTATACCTTTGAATAATGTCTGAGTTCATCCTTTCCCATCTTTGCTTGCCATTTGGAATGCTGACAATGGTATTTGTAGGTGCCTCCCAGTTAAATCTACCAAACAGTGGCCATCTAGGGTAGAGAATCCCTTACAGGAGTTTCTCCACAGGCTTCCAGGAATGTAGAAACTTTCTCAAAGTTGTGGTTCTGCTGTGTGTGTGTGTGTGTGTGTGTGTGTGTGTGCGCGAGAGTGTAGAGGATAGGTAATTTTTAGTAGATTCCCAGAAAGACTGTGGTCTAAAGATTAATGTAGAATGAAGTTGCAAGAATGTCTTTTAAAGACATCTTTGCTCTACAAAGTGATTCACAGTGGTAACCTGCCTCAGAGTATTAACTGTGACTCAAGCTGTGGCCTATCTGTGTCAGAGTGATAAGACAGAGGCGTGGTCAAAGCAATGCTTAGAAAATACAGCTATAGTTCCAGGTGGCAGTGCACCACACCCTGGGGTGTGCTCAGAACTGCAACCTTCAGACCCAGAGAACAAAACCTTGTGGTCTACAGCAGAATGCCAAAGGCTGTATCATTTTTCAGACCAGAAACTTGTCATTGGATATTTGGTTTCTTATTTCTCATGTTATCTTCCAAAATGCAACTTTCCTCATAAATAATTTAAGGCACACTCACTGAATACTACATTTTATTTGGGTCAGAACATTAGTCCCAAGTTCATGTTATAACTGTACACTTTCTAGGTAGATGATGTTGATGTGACTTGGCCATCCTATGCTGCTGTTTACTTGTGTATAAGTGGTACCTCACAGAACAGTAGTGAGAGTAAAATATACTGATGTACTAAAGTTGACCAGCAGCACAGTCCATGCTGCATTAGCACCGACAGAGACTCTGTTTTTGAGAGGCTGTGACAAGAGGCCAGAGGTCCTACCTTTGGAAACTTGCTCTGTCTGACTCTTTCATAGGACTGTAGAATGGAGTCAGGGCTATTGAGGAGGTATCTTAGGACACTACTCAATGGAAGATCACTTATGGGCTAAGAGGAACACCTTCTAGAGATACAGATGAAGAAGAAATGCCTCAAGACTGAGGCATTTCTTGACAATTGATCTGTAAAGAGCAGTGAACTTCAGTGGCGTGTTCCCTACTTCCCCTCAAAATATGAACAAAAGCAGGGATCCTTAAACTGTATGGTTCTTTTCTCAGGACTATATTTCTTGTCTGGCTACTCTTATGCTCAGGAGCCTGCCTGCCTGAGCCCCAAGAACCAGTGAGCACTCCCCCAGCCCTATCAATCTTAGCCCCTGCTCCAGTTTTCTGTTCTAGCTTCTCCACACCACTGCATTGTGAAGAAGTGCTCTAGACTGTGCTAGTACAGTTTGGGAGACAGCCTGGGGCTGTACACACCAGTAGAAGAGAGGTTACTGCAGGATAAGGCCTGAAGAGAAGGTGAGACCTGTCCAGGATTACAGAATGTCACTAAGCACAGTAAAGGCCAGTGCTGGAGCCTCCTCACACACAGGCTTATGCTGGAGACTAGTCTCAGTAGTTCATGGTACTGGAGTGTTTTCACTTGACTAAGCTTAGTGTGAGAAAGATTAAGGAGTGCTGGATTCCTTTTAATAATTAAAACCCACATATCATCATCATCATCATCATCATCATCATCATCATCATCATCGTTATTAAAGAGAAGAATTGAAAAAGGACAATGTGGTGCTGCTGGGGACACCCATCCTGGGCTCTGGTATGAAGCTGGTTGGTGATCCTCTTCATCGGGACTGGTTTCCTGCATTGGGCCTGGTTTGCTGCATAGGGACTGGCTGCAGGTCCTCTGGGGTGAAGTTAAACAGCCCCTTGAAGCAAGCTTGGTTGACCTGAATCCTAGCCCCTAGGACTATGGGCTCTGGGGTGAAGCTGACAGCCCTCTGCATCAGGACTGGTTTCCTGAATCTGGGGCGGGACTACAGGTTTCTTTGCTTGAGCAGCACCCCTGACCCCCCAGTAAATGACTCCTTTACTCTTCTCATCTCCAACCGAATGTTTCAAACGTACCTCCCTGTCTCTGCGAGGCACCAGCACCATTATGAAAAG